TTTGGAATTGTATAATAATTCAAATGATGATTTATTTTAATAATGTGATAATGTAGTGATAAAATAATATAAAATATGACTTATGATGTATGTAACTCTTGTGTAAAATTCCTTTTAAGACTAATTTGCACGCCATTATGTGTGGCAGAATATGCGAAGTTTAGATTGACTACCACAATATTTTTGTACCATATTCTTGCAAATAAATTATTATTGTTAAGGCTTTCATGCATGTCCTATCTGCTTTGTAACCAATTTTGGAGAAAGCCAGTGTCCCATTTGACTTCTTGAGATTTATTTATTGAGAGAGAGATGTTTAAAAGAAAATATGGTGATTTATAGACAAAGATAGCATTCGTGGAAACACATAATATGAAAATGCAAATAGAGCAATAATTTTGCCACAAACTCTTTAATAATCGAATCTTTGTTATAAGTACTATTGTTTTAACTAACGAACTGGCGAGCCCTCTGGCATTGAGAGTGTCCATGGGCGGCAGTATCACTTAACATCAGGTGAGCCTCCTGCCCGTTTGTTTGTTCTATAAAAAAAACAATAATGCACTGTCCTAGGTACCAGGAAAATTAGGATTAAAGTTAATATTTACAATTTCTATCGAGCGATCGCCTCGGCATGTCTCCTAATGGGTAATTAAATATAAAAGTAAATATAAAGGTAGCTGGGTAATGGAAATAATTAGTTCAACGTTAAACTATAAAAATAATGAATATGTTGATGTTTTCCACCCTACAAAAGAGGATATATTTAAAGAAACGGGAAGACTGACTTTTCATCAGTAACAATTTAGTTTCTCTTTAAAATCTTAAGGTTCTATTTGTATGAGAGTTTGCATGTATATTTTGAAAATTTATTATGAACCATTGGGTATTTACTTGAAGAAGCACAACTATATATATACATTCTGCTATTTCTGTAATGAGTCACTCGTAGAAATATAAAACGTTCTAAAGTCTCTCCTCATAATGACTGGGACATTCAAATGTAGATATTTCCTTGAGTTGGCGAGAAAAATGTGAAAATCCTGGGGCCAGCGAACGAGTTAATTTCCTCGCCGGATGCCAGAATGTCGTGCTGGCTTATTGTGTGATCTCCTATCTAAAAATTGCTCTGGAAATCAGGAAAACCGCAGAATAAACCAATTATAACATTTGTTTAACACAAAAGGTTGTAAAACCCGTAAATTAAAGTTCATAATTGTTGGTGAAATAATAAATATGTCTGTTGACTTGAATAAAGTAAATGTGAGGAGGAATTCAAGGGGATGAATACAAAAATAATTTTATGGGCGCTTAGGTGAAGGTAGGTAAGATTTAAAAATCTTATTTTTAGGGCGAGAATAATTTGTTGCAAAATTGGGTTACTCTAAAGTGTGTTTGCTACGTATATAAGGTAATCCTAAATTATTAAAAAAAAAAATAAAGAGCATAGACAGAAGGTAATTATTGTATAAAACTTTTTATTCCGTCTACCTTCAGATATTGACTGGAATTTCTAATATATTTATAATTGCAAACTTGTATGTGCTGTCGGCATAGATGATTATTTTTAAAGAACAGGGGGAAAACGGGCAGGAGGCTCTGATGTTAATTGATAAAGCCGCCCATGGACACTCTCAATGCCCGAGGTCTCGCAAGTCCTTTGCCGGCCTTTCAATGATGGATAGAATGGCTTGTCTATGATTGATCTAGTGAATCTGTGGACCAAATAAGCAACACACGCGTCTTTTGTTTTAGATTTTTTAAATAATTTTATAACCCATTTTGTGAAAATAAAGATGATTAATATTATTTAAAACGCGAGTCAAATATGTTTTCAAAAACGCGAGCGAGTTTTTAAATTCTTTTTAAAGATATGTCAGTGAATGCTTTCATTATGTGCAGTATGTATATGAAATAGGTCATATACAAACTGTTTGGTTGATGCTTAAGCCTGTGCACTGTGTACGTTTCTGTAAAATTTAGTAAGTAAAAAAAAGTCAAAATCATTTATTCATTTAGGTAACACAATGTACACTTATGAACGTCAATAAATATATACATATTAAATGCTTCCAATTTTATATTTACTGCCAGTTCTCAAATCAAGGATGTAGAACGGAGGAGAAGAACTGGCAATAAACTCTCCACCACTCTTTTTAATCGCCAAGCTTTTTAATAAAAAAAATACAATCTAAGACCACACATTTGTCTTTTGGGAGATGAATCCTACCTGAAATCGTCGAACACTAAAATACAATTACGATGTCGAGAGAAATGATAAATGTTAAACTGAAAATATATTAATATTTTTCCACACCATACCAATCTTTTTGGGTTACGTTTTTCCTTATCAATTTTGTAACAATAATGTTATTAGAATTAAATTTATAATAAAATGTTTTGAATACAAATAATTAATCTCTATAAGTTTAATTAAATTACGGAATCTAGACTAAAGAGCGACCTTTTTGCCTAAATTCATAAAATACCAAAAGGTTCAGCTCGTGAAAACGATTTTTCAAGATGTCTTCCAATTCAATATTTCAAGAATCTTTTGTATGATATCTTCTATCTGGTACAAATATTTTGTAAGAAAATTCTTCCAGTGTAACCTAGATTTAAGTATTATACCTCATTCTTATAACTTTGTTCAACTCTTAGAAAACACGGTACCTTAATAATATTGCAACAATTTTCAAAATTCGTATTATAAAACAGGGGTGAAATGGGCAAGGCTCATGATGTCAAGTGATGTTGAACAAGATCCTAACAATACCAGAAGGCTTGCGAGTGCGTCGCCGACCTATTAGAATGTTTTATTTATTTAATTATAAGTAATCTTACAGCTAACACATATTATTATTTAAGACAATACAGAAAGCCAAATCAGATAACATAGGTAAACAATATATATAACAGAAAAAAGTAAGTAGGTACTTTAATAGACAAAAATATGTTTAAAAAACTAAAGAAAATTGAAATTTAACATTTGAAACAACAAATAATACTTAATATTTCAAATGTTCTTTTCTTTATGGACTCTTGGATATAACCTGAAGGGCCACACGTGCCACATAGTGGTGGTGCAGGTAAAAATAAGAAAGGTAAATTATTTAACTGAAGCGATGATTCATAGTATGGTTTCTATAGACTTATCTTTTGCAACAAGAAAGTAACTAACTAATTGTTTAATATAACATATAAATTAATGTTGAAAGAACTTATTTCCTCAGAAAATTATTAGACTTCTTCAAATAATTTGTACGCGGCTTCGCCAAGATAAGCAAACTCGCTCGACGAGTATTGCGTATAGTGGTTGTGTTTGATTTTTTTAAATGATAAGCTTCTATGGAGAGAGTTATTTAAAATTATATTACATACAGGTAAACATATAGTTGTTTAATCGTCATAATGTTGGTTTCTTGGTAAATTTTAATAAGGAAAAGATACCTACCCATTCTACCCTAGAATAAAGCAAGTCAGATAGAATTAATTTTATCTTACACCTACATGTAAAATCATATATAAATGAAAGCAAATGTTAACGTGTTGGTAAATGAAAAAAGTTTGTACATAATGCAAATGTGAATGCCATGTCTAAACAATGGCTACGCAAGGAGAATTTAATCAAACTTTCTTCCAACACATTATACTTGAGCCCCAAATACGTGTAAGGTTGGTTCGTTCCCATGTAAGAAAACCATATAATTATTTTGTTTGGTGTTTAAAGGAAAATTCAAGTTATAATTTGTTTAATCACACAAAACATACGATTATAAATTCTTTATTCTAATACATATATAAAAACAATAATAGCTTATAGTATTGTCTTTGATTAACATAACTTTTATTCATTTAATAAAACACTATTTTGACCGGATTGAAGTTATGTATGATTATAAATTTACAACTATTCGACTATTTATATTATACAAATACTTCTCCTTATTGTCATAGATTGGTTTGTTGGCATCAGCCATTTAATATCGACATTCAGAGTCTACTGTTTAAAGGCTTCTGCTTAGTTAGACCGCTCAATCGAACTGACCCGCACCAACCAGTTCCTGTTTTTTTTATATCCCCCGAATTTTTAATCAACAACTTTCGTCAGCTTTCGTGTACTCGTTCCATGACCGAACCCGAATCGACCACAGAGTCGAACGGCAGTCATAGGAACGAGTGTCAAAGATTACTTTAATATTTATGGTCATTGGGTTAACATTTAAGATTATGATAAATAAAGTTTAATAATAATAATGACTATGGAGTCATCATTATTATCGACCATTGAATAGTCATTTCGAAATTAACCATTCGTATTAGCGGTTTTGCACTAATTTAACTTTGACGTTATTCATTTAATATGACAACAATGACAATGGCAGCTGACACTAACACCATTGATTCAAAATACTATTAAATTACTACAGATTATCAAATATCCTGTTAATTTGTAGATCTTAACTGATTTGACTTTGAAGTTATTAATTAATGAAAATGATACATCAAACACAATCATCAAATAAAGTAGCTTTGTAAATTGAATGTAAAATTAATTAAAAATAAACGTGATTTAAATAATAATTTTGTAAAATAATAACAAGTAATCACAAATTCATTACATTCGGCCGTCCGACTACGTGCGATCTCCTGACGCACGGTATATAATCATGGAAAGGTTTTATAAATTCAAATAGGTACATAACAAAATATTTTAGTTTCATGTGAACTAATTGTAACTTATCTATACATTTCGTTTTAATCAATAATTCATTACATTCGGCTGTTATTTGGATTCAGATTGATTTTGTGATAGTTCATTGTCACTTTTGTTACTTTCGCTATCAGACGTACTACTGCTGCTAGCTACTGCATCTAAATTATCATTATGTTCGGACACATTTATATTGATCCATGGACGAATCCTGTCTACGGCAACCACGCTATCAAATTTATTTTTGCGTTTACTAAAACCAGGTATTTCAACAATTTTATATCTATCATTGCCCAAAACTTTTGCAATTTTGAAGGGGCCTATAAATTTTGATATTAACTTAGTACTATTACCTTTATTACTAAAATTAGTTCTAGTTATTTTAATTAAATCCCCTTCCTTATAAGTCGGGGCAGGAACTCTATTTTGGTCGTAGTTTTGTTTTTGTTTAATTTGACTAGACTCGATATTTGTACGAACGTCTTGCCTCACTTCTGTACAGTTTAGATTAGGCTCATCATTTATATCTAACATGTTATTTAGGCTATCTTTCAATCTGGTTCCAAACAATGCTTCCGTAGCTGTCCTTTGAGTGGTGGAATTTGTTGCATTATTAATTCCCCACTGAATTTTTCCTACACACATGTCCCAGTTCCGTTCGTCCTCACCGTCAGAATACTTTGCAAGTGAACTTAAGATCGTTTGATTATATCTTTCGGCTTGGCCGTTGGCTCTGGGACACGCAACAGCATTCAAAACATGTTTAATACCATGAGTATCGCAAAAAGACTTAAAAGCTGCTGAAGTGAAAGAGGTACCTCGATCCGATATAATTCGGGATGGTAAACCGAAGTCATAAAAAATATTTAATAATACCTTAATAGTTGTTTTAGTCTTTGTATCCTTAACAGCTCTTACAAACAAATACTTGGTAAACCCATCCACTATGGTGAGAATGTAAACATTGCCGTTCTTGCTTTTGACAAATGGACCCAAGTGGTCAATATGAATGGTGTGGAACGGAATGCTTACCTTCTCTATCGGATACAAGTGACCACTCTTATGTCGAGACGTACTATCCTTATTATAGGCACACCTAATGCAAGACTTAACATATTTCTTAACAAATCTTCGCAACTTAGGAAACCAGAAAACAGATTGAATCTTCTCGGTAGTCTTTGATATTCCTAGATGACCTGCGTCATCGTGGTTAGATTTACAAATTTGCCATCGAGCACTGCGAGGAATTACTAAACAGAGCTTATCATCAACTTTCCTATACACTCTACTGTTCTTAACTAAATAGTTTCTCCTAATATCTTTAGCTTCTTCATCAGACTCGGGCTTAAGAATTTTATATATTCGGGATATCTCAGGATCTGACATTTGCAAAGTCAAGAGCCAGTTATCAGTGTCAATACTATAGACTGTAACTGCAGAATTATCGATATCGATAACCTCGGGTGTTAACTTTGTGTTACGGCTCAGTGCGTCCACATGAGCCATGCGGATGCCTGGCCGGTACTCTATACTAAAATTGAATTCACTTATTAAAAGCCACCACCTAGCTATTCGGGGTATTAAGTCGCGTTTCGTTAATGTGGTTCGAATAGCGTTACAGTCTGTTACAATTTTGAACTCAATCCCCAACAAATATACCCTAAATTTCTTTAACGAACATACAATTGCAAGGGTCTCGAGTTCATAAGAGTGCAAGTGACGCTCCTCCGGGGTGGTTTGCCGGCTAAAGTAGGCTATTGGCTTAAGAGCGCGCGACTCCGGCTGCCATTGCATCAATATCCCACCCACGCCTAAAGAACTTGCATCCGTATGCAATTCAGTTTCAAAATTAGGATTGTATAGAGCTAAAATTGGTCGTCCAATTAACCTATCCTTTAAGGTAGAAAACGAATGAAATTCTTCATCTGTCCATTTAAAAACATTGCCCTTCTTGAGTAAGTTGGTTAGAGGCCTAGCTATTTCACCGAAACTTTTGATAAATTTTCTAAAATAGCCTGCTAGTCCCAAAAACTGACGGATTTCATGTACGTTCCGAGGAACAGGAAACTCTTTCACAGCTAGAATCTTACTTTCGTTAGGACGTATGCCTTCTGCAGAAATTTCGTAGCCTAAATAGTCAAGGGTATTATTGAAGAATCGACATTTAGATAATTTTAAAGTGAGCCCATTTTGCCGTAACAACTTCAAAACATTTTCTAACCTCTCAAATCCCTCCTCCAGGGTAACTGATGGCACAAGAATGTCATCCAAATAAGCCAATGCTAACTCATCACGTTTATTACCCAGCATTGTATTCATTAATCTCTGAAATACAGCTGGGGCATTTGCGAGACCAAACGGCATCCTTTTAAATTCATAATGTCCATCTGGCGTCACGAACGCAGTTAATGGACGACTCTCTTCCGCCACTGGCACTTGATAATACCCAGAAATCAGATCTAAAGACGTAAAGAACCTATTGCCACTAAGGTTAGTTAATTGATCATCGATTATCGGCAAAGGGAAACGATCCTTCCTCGTTTTATTATTGAGAGCCCTATAATCAACACATAAGCGCTGTTCTCCTGTTTTCTTCCTTACCAATAAAATAGGACTGGCATAATTTGAATTGGACTCTTGTATAATGTCATTTTGCAACAAGTCATTTATTATCTCCTTAACCTGACCTCTTTCCGAAAAGGATAATCTATACGGTCGGTAAACTACAGGTTTGTCATCCAATAAGTCTATTCTCATTTTAGTTGAGCTGATACAACCAATTTCTCCTAGATTACATGCAAAGCAATCTCGATAATTGATTAAAAGTGAATGAAGTTTACCTAACGCCTCTTTGTCAATTTGGGGACCAACTATTATGTCAGATATTAGTAAAGGCTCATATTCCGAATTATTTTTGGTTACTTTATTTACATAGGTACTATCTTTTTCAACAAAACAAGTTCCTTTAGCAATAGGGCTTTTCTTTGATAACGTAAGATTTTGACCAGATAAATTTGTCACGGGCAAATAGCACTTTCCATCAACAATCCTATAAACTCCCTGGTGCAAATAATGTTCTTTCCTAGGCTCACAATTATAGTAACCTTCAATATAAACATCTCCGCAGAAGTCAGCGTCAGGTGCGGTAGCTTCAACTAACCCTGATAATGTAACGTCGGTATCGTTATCAAGAGTTAACTTTAAACATTTCACCGGCTGTGGTATTGTATCGATATCAGGGCTCTGATAAAAAGTTAACTGACGATTGTTTTTAAATACTGTTACACAAGGAAGTTCTGTAACATTTTGACCAATAAGTAGAGCCGACTGAAGGAACTGATTGTTAACCACTAGTACCTCTACATTAACCTCAACTTCATCTAATTTAAGATCAACGTTGGTCCTATATACTGGAAATACTTTAGAGTTCCCAAACCCTTTGATTACTGGCAACTCTGTTGAATTTTTAGTTAGATTCAGACTTTGAGCGTCAGATTCCTTGATTAAACTACATTCACTGCCGAAATCAATAAAAGCAGTTAAAGGCTTATCGTTTACCTTAACGGTCTTGTAAAATTTGTCGCTGTTGTTATTGAGGGTAGATATAGTTAAAATTTTTCGACCCTGGTTATCAGTTTGTTTAGGTTCATTTCGCAAGATTAATGGCTCTTGTTTACAATTATCGTTGTTGTGGCCCACCCGATGGCATTTTACACATTTGGTAAGAGGTTTAGGACATCGAAAGTAAGGGTGTCCCTTTGAGCGGCAATTGAAACAAGTTAACAAATTTTCGCTTGAGGACGATGCAGTGTTACCCGTTCGAACTATCGTATTATCGCTACGTTTCCTATTGAATGTGTTATTTTCTAATATAGGACGTTGGGAGCTCAGAAAATTCAACAAGTCTTCCGGTTCAAGACAAGTCAGTGCCTGTGCACTGCTTCTAATAGATTTATCTAATATTCCGTGGATAATACAATCGACGGCCTTTTTGCCACTTATTTCACATCTGTTCAACAACGTTAACTTATCGTAGAAGTACTCACGTAAACTTTCGCTACTACGAGTAGTGCGAGATAACATTTCCTCGAGGAGCCGTCCATAATTCTGCTCATTTGGGAAAGCTCTTATAAGTTTGACCTGCCACTCTGACCAACTGAAAACAACGCTAGGAAGGGCTTCAAACCACTTCTTTGCCAAACCAGACAGTTTCTGCAGGGCAAAATGTATGGTCTGCTTCTCGTTCCATTCATAGATTACGGCACATTCATTAACCTTCCTAATCCAACAGTCGATATTCTGAGTTTTATTTGACGGATCAAATTCTGGTATTACATTGTTAAGAAGATTGTTATTTAAAACACTTGTCTTGCTCTTATGCTCTTGAAGGGTATAAAAGATATCAAGTACCTGTTTAGTAGACCAACTACCTTTTTCCTTTGATCGTTTCTTACTTGCACTCCGTGAACTACGGGATGAATCACTGCTGGAGGTGGAGGAGCTGGAAGACTGCTTGCGTTTCTTCTTTGATCGCTTAGACTTAGTTGCTGCTTTAGAGGAGCGTCGTGAACGCTTTCTCTGAAGTTCATCTTTACGAGTAGGCGAGCCTTCGGGAGTCATCGCTTCATCAGTATTCATTTCCTCAAAAATAAAATATCATTTTATCATGTTAGTATATCAAATCATTGCCTAAACGTACTAAAACTATATGAATATTTTAAAAACATTTCAAAATTAAAAATAATAAAAAAAATAAATAAAATAAACTTCATTTATCCTTGACTGAAAACAAAATACAATAATGATCTTTTAACGTTGATACGCTCTAAGGGTACAAAGTATTCTATATCCATATAGGCATACATAGCCTCTAGCAGCTGAAGCGCACTTGGCTTCCTATTGTAGGCACACATGGTTCGATAGGCATACATAGCCTCTAGCAGCTGAAGCGCACTTGGCTTCCTATTGTAGGCACACATAACCTACTTAAGCACATATGGCTAATAGGCACACATCACCCATCAAGCACACATGGTTCGATAGGCATACATAGCCTCTAGCAGCTGAAGCTCACTTGGCTTCCTAATGTAGGCACACATAACCTACTAAACACACATGGCTAATAGACACACATCACCCATTAAGCACACATGGCTTGATAGGCATACATAGCCTCTAGTAGCTGAAGCACGCTTGGCTTCCCATTGTAGGCACACATAACCTACTACGTACACATGGCTCGTTAGGCATACATAGCCTTTCAGTATGTAAAGCACACTTGGCTCTATAGGCGTACATAACTTCTAGTAGCCAAAGAAAACGTGGGGCGTTCAATTTCTATTTATTTATAGCAATATCATTAATAATCGTATAAAACACTTGTACGCACCTTAGATTGGGTCCTTATCCCACTTCTGAATTGTTATGAAATCTCAATAGTCGATTGATATTGTTTAAATACTTCTCCTTATTGTCATAGATTGGTTTGTTGGCATCAGCCATTTAATATCGACATTCAGAGTCTACTGTTTAAAGGCTTCTGCTTAGTTAGACCGCTCAATCGAACTGACCCGCACCAACCAGTTCCTGTTTTTTTTATATCCCCCGAATTTATAATCAACAACTTTCGTCAGCTTTCGTGTACTCGTTCCATGACCGAACCCGAATCGACCACAGAGTCGAACGGCAGTCATAGGAACGAGTGTCAAAGATTACTTTAATATTTATGGTCATTGGGTTAACATTTAAGATTATGATAAATAAAGTTTAATAATAATAATGACTATGGAGTCATCATTATTATCGACCATTGAATAGTCATTTCGAAATTAACCATTCGTATTAGCGGTTTTGCACTAATTTAACTTTGACGTTATTCATTTAATATGACAACAATGACAATGGCAGCTGACACTAACACCATTGATTCAAAATACTATTAAATTACTACAGATTATCAAATATCCTGTTAATTTGTAGATCTTAACTGATTTGACTTTGAAGTTATTAATTAATGAAAATGATACATCAAACACAATCATCAAATAAAGTAGCTTTGTAAATTGAATGTAAAATTAATTAAAAATAAACGTGATTTAAATAATAATTTTGTAAAATAATAACAAGTAATCACAAATTCATTACATGTATTATTATAAATTCAATCCGGTCAAAATAGTGTTTTATTAAATAATAGCTTAATCAAAGTCAAGTTTTAATTAAGTCAAGAGTGTAACTATGATACTATAAAACATAGTATAATAATAATATATACATTTTCTACTTAATATACACTTTGAGTAAGTCTGAACAATTCCTTAACAATTGAGCTCGACAGATGTTTGATTCTGATAAGTTTCCTCTGAAACGCTTGCGTTAATAAACTTAATACCTTTATAATTAATACTATTAATCCACAAATTAATTAAAATGTTCAATATGTATTTTTTTGTAATTACTAGCTACTAACGTATACAAAAGATAAGTAAATATTTTCCAATTTCAACATCATTTGCCTATAGGTCATACTGGTAACTTTGAAGTCGATAAAAAATAGTATTGTTATACATACAAATTATATTGGCTACGCAAAGCTACGCAAGGTGCTACATAACGCTACGCCTTTCTTGCGTAGAAGCCACAAGCAACATCGTGTTTAATGGTTATCTTTTTAGGGAAATATTCATATCATTATCATTCGTTGCCATATCGTTAATGATATTTTATTGATATATATGTTGATATAAATAACCTTTAAATATTAATGTCATACAATATGGAATATAGTGTAATGGTAACAATATTAATAAAATTAAACTTATAAACATAAACTAATAATAATAAAATAATATACATTGAAATAAATAACGAAACTTAACATAAACTAAAATATATCATTAAAAGGAGTCCCTTTAGGCAAGGTTCCGAAGATACTGGCAGCGTTCCCCCTTTGAATTGCTAGACTAATTCTTTGTCCGAGGTAGCTGCCAGATCTTCGGTCTCCTGTGATGTCGACTAACCTTTTGAAATTTCTTTAAAAAGCCTTAAAGCGCTAGGACCCCACGGACCAAGGGTCTCGACACCGAATGGGACAAAATCATATTCAGAGCCCAGACCCCTGTATTTGCCTGCTTTATTTTTTTCAGCCGCTTCACAAGCCGCACCAGCTCTGTAGTTGGTTCCATGTAGATGGGAAGGGGCCAGCGTGTCTGAACAGGTTGCATCCCATACCAGTACCCGACCCATCTTCCATGGAATCAAACTCATACCGTCCGGTCTCTTGCCATCGTCTCTTGCAATACCACTTGGCTCAAGAAGACTTGGCACGTTGACGGTGGCAAGGGAACGGCGTATGATATCGTTAAGTGCGGCATGTCTCGAGAAGCGGCCTGCACTTTTTTGGCATGACAGGCCGTGATGTCCTAACTTGTCGACATCACTGCCACAGGGACATATATGAGGAGCGCAGACCGGAACCCCAAGCCGTAGACAGGTTGCGATTCGAAGCGTGTCAGGCTCAAGAAAAGTTCCTGTATTTGACGATGGGTAAGCGTGAAGCCAGTAGCCGGCCTCATGCGTGCCCACGGCCAAAAGCCTAGCACGCGCCGAACCCGTACTACGACTCAAAAGATCGTCAAAAGTCAACTTGCAGTGTATGTCATCCCAGCTCCTCTGTGAATTTAGAGATAATGGAAAATTTTGACCTGGGCATGCAATCAAGAAAGCGTTTCTAGCTTCTTCCAAGCCAGCAATCTCAAAGTTTGAAGGGGATGCCCTTAAAATTTTACTTATGAGATTTGCTGAACTATGGACAGAAGATAGAAAGGCTGGTAAAGCGACACTGGAAATTTTGCGAATCCCTAAACCACCATAACGGATGGGTAGGGAAGCTTGGGTCCAAGATTTCTCGTTCAGCTGCATATTAAGAAGTGATTCTAAGCTAATTTTGATTAAGTCGTCTAATGGTGTTAAAATATCTGGGTGATTCCAAAAGGAGCAGCAACGGAGCACATACGTAAATTTTGGGAGGAAAAGACAGAATTTTAAGATGCAAAGTGCATAATGTGGACTAATTTCAAGGAGACGGTCAGCAGAATTTTGAAATTTAGTAATTGAAGTATGAATATAATCAGAAATAGATTCATTAAAAATTGGAGAACCTAAAAGGTAAAGGGAATTCCTGTTAACTATTTTAATATTTGGAGCCAAAATTTGAAATTTTTTTTTTTACATCATTTAAATTTAAGTCGCAGTTATTTATGAAAAGTTCGCATTTGTTAAAATTAAGCTCCAAACCAATGGCTTCAAATTTATTTTTGATTAAAAGAAGGTCCGAAAACACAGTATCCACATCACCTCCTAGGGTTCCGTCGTCCAAATACCAAACATTGAAATTAGAATTTAAATTTTTGATTATGGGATTTATAGCCAAACTAAAAATTGCAGGCCCAAGGGGATCACCCTGTTGACAACCTACTTCCGAGGAAAGTTCATTAGAACGATATAACAATTTAGTTGGATCAGCGTAACTGAGAAGAAGATAATTGTATATTTCCGGTATATGTTGTTTTATTTCAGTCAGCAGGGTATCCCTATTTACCGAATTAAATGCATTTTTCACATCAATTTTGAGCAACACGTCTGGCTGTCCGTGACTTAGGAAAGAGCGTAGGGCATGGACGGCTGCCTCACACCCTCCTTTCACACCGAAGCCTAACTGTACAGGTTCAAATTCTGAATTTAATTTTGGTAAAATATGTCGAACAGCAATTTTGGAAGCCAGACGTCTTAGTGTTGAACCAACAGCAATTGGTCTCACCCCTCCGTCCTTTTAGTGAGGGCAATGAGGTTCGCGCCGAAAAGAATGGGAACAATTTCTGTATTGACATCCCCGGAATACATAAAATTTATTAATTTTGTGATCGAGTTAATAAGTTGCTCGCCTGCATCACCCACAGAATGCGATGTTAAATCTTTCAAATGTTGGGGTGAGATTCCATCCAATCCTGCTGCCGAACCTGGTTTAAAAGATAAAATTGCATCAGTTACATCTTTGTTTCGAATTTTAAGGCATGCTTGCCCTGCTGTTGGTGGGTCGAGAAAATATGGGTTTACTGGAGCTGGGGGATGTTTAGTCCGTAATGCCTCAAGGGTGTCAGGCGTATCTGGCGATAGCACGTCATTGGAGAACAAAAGACGAGCGGCACCTTTAAGATCTCCGTCACAAATTTTGTTCTCGATGAGTTTTTTGCGATTAAAAGGGGCATCATGTTTAATTAGAGGTGCGGGAGAAGGTGAGGAACTTACAGCACAGTTATTCTTTATCTTTTGTGTCAGGGATAAATTCGGTTCATCAGTTTTTATTATGTGTAGTGTACTGTATGAAAATAAAAATAAGTTCTGCCAGTCTTGAGTACAATTGCTTATATAACATTTCTGGATTAATTTTGACAAATGTGTAGCAACAGTTATTCAGTGCTCAGGAGGGATTCTTTTAACAATGGGTATACTATTTTTCAAATGGCTAAGTAATGTATGAAAAGGAGTTGGAGCGTTGGCTGCAAAAGTAGGCGCACTCGGAATAATGGGATGGATTTCTAAAAGTGAACTGGTTTGGCTAATACAGTTCCTGTGTGTTT